CCCCCACTTCCAGGTGCCATTGTAACCAGATAATCAGTGTTATTAATTTCACCTCTCAGTGGTCATAATGTTATGGCTAATCGGTATATATCTTGTCTTTCAATATTTCTGCTATCTGTTATATTACCTGGTTCATTGTAAACAGTCCCCAAGTCAAGCCTAAAGGATCCAATCAGGATGCTTCCAATTAGCTTATTGTGCATAACCTGCATGTAGGACAAAGCCAAAAAAATGTTAGTACACTGAATGTATCATGGTAGATGTTGTACTAAAAATAGATCACAGAACTGAACAGAAGGGAATAAACAGATCACACTTCAATAGCTTACTGCTCGGCTTCAGGAGCCAAGCAATGACAGCTCAGGGAGTGGAAGTAATGCAATCCGCGTCACTCCCGATCCCATGGAACAGGGAGGAGAAAGGCAAACTGATGTTTGTAGCTCTCCTTCCCAGCTTCCCGCCGGCACCCGGTCCTGGGACCGCAGGAGGTGCAGCGGAACCCAGGAAACACCATGGGAGTGTAACTCTTGGCACAGGGGGAATGAGATAAAATATGAAAATAAAACATGCAGAATAAATAGCATGAGTCGTGTAACATGTGAAATGTTACATCATTATATTAGACATACATACATAGTATAGCTCTATCATTGTCATACTTACCGAGAGCTTTATAATTTTGTCAAACAGCTGCTCTTGGGGCCCCACAAAATCAAATACAAAGTACTGTCAATCAAATACAAATATGTGTTAATTTTTTTGCACGCTCTGATAATTCTGCACCATATGATATAATAGATGAATGATGATACAAAGTAACAAGTGACAACAGTCAGAAAACTACTTATACCATACAGGAAACACTGAGGGGAATCTATCAAAACTGGAGCAGACAAAATCTGGAGCAGTTGCCCATGGAAACCAATCAGCTTCTCCCTTCAGTTTGTTCAGTTAAGATTTGAAAATTAAAGAGAGAAGCTGATTGGTTGCCATGCACTGCTGCTCCAGATTTTGTCTGCTCCTTCACTGTGTCTACCATTCTACTGTCAGGGCCGGATTTACTTCAGGCTGCATACAAGTGATCTTGGTGAAATCACCGAGATCACTTGTACAAAACAAGCGGCGGCTTCCACGCTGTACACGCTGTACAAAGTGGAAAACAACTACCCGCCCAGCGCCCGGAACTGCATGTCCCGGGCATCAGGAGATAGGAATCCCACACCCCTGCTGCCCCTCTACTCCCTGCTGCCCCAAGGCCAGACCTCTGTTGGCCTTGTGGGAAATCCGGCCCCGTCTACTATATCTAATCCCCTGCAAATGTCATTTTGCAGGTACTCATATGTGATAATGAACAGACCACAGTTCTATGATATTTGATTCTGTGCTGAAAATAAATGTAGATGAAGTCTACATCGTGTGGTGTGGGGAATAATGTGCCCTCATATTTGTATGGCTCAGCAACTGATGTCCCCTAAATCCCGCGTCATAGTCAATAAGGATGTTTTAATGTGGATGTAAAGTGGGGTATGCAAAAATTAAAAATAAGCCCCCCGGAGGTGTTTGCCATAATGGACTAATAGGCACAGCGAATTAGCACAGTAGTGCGACTTTTCTTGCACATGATTTCTTCCAGTGCTGCACTGTCCACTCTCTCCATCTCCATCTTCACCCGATCTTCTTCTGGGTTCAGCATCTTTAGCTGCTTGGTTAGCCAGGCCGGCATGATGTAACTCATGAATGCAAATCATCTCAGCATGCCAGGTTTGTGCACCGGGCCGGGAATAGTGATGAGCCGAACACCCCCGTGTTTGGTTCGTATTCGAACATTCGAATGGCCGAAAAGTTTGAATACGAACTCAATGCAAGTGAATGGGGGTCGAACGTTTGAAAATGAATGTCCCCTTTAAGAGGGCTTATACAGGCAGTCCCCGGGTTACGGTCGTCCGACTTATGGACAATCTGTACTTACGAACCGGGTCCACATTTCTCCTAAATGCATCAGCTCAGCGCAAAGAAGAAAAATTGCTGGCAGACAGGTAGGAGTATTTATGGCAGAAGAAAATTACAGTCTCCTGTCAGCAATTTTTTGTATAGAGAGTTTACTTCCACTTTAAGCAGTGGGTGGCCTTGTTCACTGCAGGTATCCTCCCATCTAAGTGTAAGTCCCCATTCACACCTAGGCGTTCTGGCAGATTACAACAGTTTTGGTCCCATATATTTCAATAGGAAACATCTGGAAACGTGTGTTTTAAAGGTTTTTGCGTGTTTTGTCTGACAAAGTTTTCCATTAAAGTCCATGCGACTAAAAAGCACTAAAAAGGGAATCCCTGTGGGGAGTGGTGACTGATGGTCATTCCTCTCTACAGGGAGAAGATCGGGGTATGAGCGATCAGCGTTATTGATCGCTCCTTTCCCGATCTATAGAGCCGACATCAGCTCTAAATAAGGGGAAGAGTGTATTTCACTCCCCCCATAATTCTCCTTTAAATACAATGTAAAATTTTGAGGGTTGGCAAACCAGTCACAGAGTTATTGTCAAGTAGTACAAGTACTGTACAGTAGTATTGTCAGTAGTGGCACTGTTCATTTTTGCCTGGGCATTTAGGCTTCAATTACCCCAGGTTATCAAAGGGTTAAAAGGTTTTTTTGGACTCTAATGAAGAATGGGGTAAATCACTTTGTGGCAGATTGTGGGATAAACTGTGTGGACCACCAAAGTGGATAACGCCTTTAGAACATTAATAACTGGAAAAAGTGAAAGATGTTCATAATATATATATAGAGATATACACTGAGTGGCCAGATTATTATGACCACCCCATCAATACTTTGTTGGGCCACGAGATAACTCCACAAGATGTTGAAAGGTGATGCGAGGAATCTGACACTGCACTGTTGCCCTTCTGTTGTCTTGTACCAGTCTTGCCACTCTCCGTTCTGCCCTAACATTGACTAGTCGCTGACGGCCACAATTCGCATGTTCAAAACCAGATTTTCCGCTGACAGTTCAGTCTTTAAACACTTTAACAACAGCTGCTCTTGAACATTTAATGAATTCTGCTGTTTTGCTGATACTCGCTCTATGGCTCCGAGTGCCAACAATCATCCCACGTTCAAAGGCTGTGAAATCGCGTTGTTTCCCCGTATCTTCAGAAACAAAATCACTTCTACTGTCGTGGTAAACAACCTGCTTCCCTATTTATAATGGTCTGGCCCTCTAGCAACTTCAGCGCCAAATTATAGCTAATTATAGCTAATTTGCCTACAAACGTCAGGTGGTCATAATATTCTGGCCACTCAGTGTATATATATATATATATATAAAGGGGGGGGTTTTAATGTAAAGGAGGGACTCTGCTGTGAAAGGGGGTGTTCCACCGTAATGAGGGACTTCTGATGCAAAGAGGGCTCCTGATTTGAAGGATGACTGTGATGTGAAAGGATGGATTCAGATGTGAAAGGGGCTATGATGTGAAGGGGACTTCTGATTTGAAGGAGGAGGAATGTGATGAGGGGAGCCTCTTTTTTTTATGGATTCCTCCTTAATATCATACCGGACCCATATCTGGAGGGCCCACATGTTGTTTTTTACCTTCACATATTTTACATTTTAGATTGGGATGCCTGAGATTTTGCATACTTTTAAAAGGATGCTGTGACTGGAAAAAGGATGACAAACACTATCTGAAAAAAGTAAGTCAAGCAATGAAGCAACTGGACTATATTTTTCTTGAAGACGTTTCACTGGTCATCCAACCAGTTTTCTCACGTCAGAATTACTTCAAACAGTTCTCTGGGAATAAATGTAGTGAATGTCGCTCCAATACACATAATATGTTAGTCACAACCAGGTGTTGATTACATTTGCATAATTGGAGCTAGGGGGTGTTAACCTGCCCAGAAAGAGGTGTTAAAACAGCATAATAGATGTCTCCCCCTCCCCCCCTTTCAAGCTTGGCTTCTCCATTTTTACATAAATGTCCTCTTTCACACCTCTTTTAAACCAGTCCTCCTCCATGTCTAGGATACGTACTTGACTGTCTTCAAAGGAGTGACCTTTTTCCTTTAGATGTAGGTAAACTGCAGAATCCTGACCTGAGGGTTTGGCTCTTGAGAAACACTGATCTATATAATCACCCATGCCATTGGGAAAGATTGAGGCAGATCCCCATGGCACACAACTTAATCCAAATTGGGTAGATAGCTCTCAGATCTATGGTCGCCACATAGAGAGATCTATGGCCTTGTCACACTTTCTATTCACAATCTAATAATCACCTCATTAAAAAATGGAGCGTTTGTCCCTTCTTTGACTGCTGTTTGTTTCTTTTCATCTCCGATTTCAATGATAACCACTGGGTCAATATTTTCACCAATCAGTTGCCTGGCTTCTGTAATAGTTATGGCAATCTGTTGAGAGAACATATACATTTATACACAATGTGTTGGTGGCACCATGCCATGTGGTCCACCACTGACATACAGCTGATGGATTGTATAAAGTACTAACCTGATATGTCTGGATTTTAGTCTCCCCTTCATGAATCTTAGCTTCTAGCTTGGACCTGTTGAATCAACCGTAAAATGGCAATTAGACATATATTTTCCTATTACAATTACATTTCTAGTGAAAGCCTTTAATTATGTAGCGATAACTCCCCGCAGGGAGCCGCTGTTTGCCCGGTCCACATCTAGTCGGTCTAGGGGTTGTTTTCCAGCTGCACCCACTAGCACTAACCGGCCTCTTCTGGTGCCCATAAATGGATGTCCACTTGAGTAGTATGATTCTAGTTGAACATTTTATTGAACATCTTCTTAGGGAGAGAGGGTATAGGGGTTCTAGGTGTCTAGGGGTAGCCATCATCAGCTCCAGACTCACCGGATCTTGTGAAAGTAGTCATGCAGCTCCACAATCCAGGAAAGAAACACCGACCCCGCTCTAAAGTCCACATAGATCCAGGGCACTTCAAGAGCCTGCACGGGTCCTGGTTCTTTTCCTCTTTCCATCTCTCAGGCCTTCTCCTGGTTGGAGACCTCAGGGAAACCTCTTCCCTCACTTCAGCCTATGCCCACCACCAGGCCTCGGCCCAGCCTTGGGGGGCAGACTGAACAGGACCCAGCCCTAATCAATGGCTGGTCCTCCCGGTGAGAGAGAGAGCACATGGCAGCTCTCCACTAATATATGTACACTATCCAAGCATGTCCCACTGGCTGAGAGAAGCCCAGTGATTGGCTGCTGTACTGTACACACATTACAGTGTCCACCATTGGCTGTCCCACAACATGACAGAGTCTCACTCCACCCAGGGGGGTAAAGGCAATGTTAAACACCTGGGATTAACCATGTAATTGCTACTACAAATCGAGCCAGGCTGTCTATAGCCCTGGCTATCACTGAATGCATAGTAGTCACATCGCAAAAGGTGATGGGCGCTACAATTAAAATTAGAAAATTCTTTGATTATGAGCTGTAGGTGATGACTGAAAGTATAGGCTCATCAGAACAAATGGTTTAGATAAAGTTTCAGAAGGCTCATTGATTTTCAATGTTTGTCCACCTGGAAGAGTCAAGGTTAGTGAAACGTATTCTTGCAGTTTGGGCCTTTTGGGGGTCCAAGTGGAGATATTCTATGTATATCAACTAGGTTGTAAGCCTTGGAGTGACCCAAAACACAATAGGAAAATTATATAACCCTGTTGGTCTAAAACCACTTTGTAATCTCACAGGAAGAGTTCACAATTGTGGCCAGGCAAAATTAAGCGTTAGTTGGCACCAAACTGGAATTTTACTTTATCTAGATCAGAAAGTGTGTGTGCGGGAATTGATCTCTGCAAAAGAGATAATAACTAGGAATGTACCAATAACTATACTAGTATCGGTATTGGTGCCGATACAGAGGGTTTGGGAGAGTACCCGTACTCTCCCAAATGCTCTCATACCTTCCCCACTACCGGAACTTCCGGTCAGAGAGAGATTTCCTCTGACTGGCAGTGCTGCGAGAGAACATGGAGCAGGCTTCCTGATTGGCCAGGAAGCCGGCTAAATGCTGATTAGCTGGGAAGCTGGCATCTGGACCAATCAGCCTCAATCAAGCAAAACAGCATGGAGCCAACTTCCTGATTGCCTGCAAAGCTGGCTCCATGCTAGCGGAAGTACCGGTATGTTAATCTAAATATTGGTACTCGTACTCGATACCGATATGGTGCATCCCTAATAACAGTTTTTTTTTCTAATAGATTTGGGATGGGTAATAGCCTCTGTCAACTTTTTTCTTGGTTTTTGTCCCAAATGGGAATTAGGGATGAGCTCAGCTTCAGACCAATCTCGCCATCCACTGGCCACTGAGGCAGTCTTATAGGACAGTAGAATGGCAGCTGGCAGAGCTTAGCCATGAGGTCAAACAAATTGCGACCTTCAAAACTAGACTATTAATAATGTTGATGACTATACAGAGAGGTTCATTATTATATTATGTAGTTACATAGTTTATATTTATGTGTATATAAATGTATTTTATATTTTCCGTGGTACCTCGGTTCACAAACTTAATTTGTTTCACGATTCTGGTCGTGAACCAAATTGGTCGCGAACCACATTAAACTGTGATCAGACCGATGTCGACTAGAGGAAGCCACGACCATGTACTAGAGCAGGGAAGATGGCTGCGGTTGTGTTCGTCGCCTGATGCGGAGTTCGCGAACAGAAACAAAATTTTGCTGAACTTCCTGTTCGCAAACCAAATTGTTCGCGAACAGAAGCGTTCATGAACTAAGGTACCACTGTATGTGGGTGTGTGTTACATTTCATTCTTAATGTCCATACCTCTGTACATTTTGTAAACTGAAAAACTCATCTTTTACTTATCTACACTCTCAGATGATATAACTTATTGTGGAGGTTGCACAATTTTACTGCCTAAACAGTTAGAAAAAAACTTTACATAGTGTAAGATTAAACCACTTGTCCAGTTTTATGTTGTGGTCACAGATCTTCTTCAGAGTCCTTAGCTTAAACAGTTTATTCCGAATACTGCAGTTCCCATTAATAGATATGTATATTGCAATCATATTCCTTCTTGAGTACCTCTTCTCCAAGGAAAACAAGTTCAGTTTCTGTAGTTGTTCTTCATAACTTAGGCCTGAATTGCATACTCAAGATGAGGCTTAACCCGGGCTTTGTATAGTGGTAGAATTACAGTTTTATCTCTTGAATAATACCTTTATTAATGCATGTTAGTAGTCTGTTGGCTTTGTTAACTGCAGTTTGGCACTGGATGGTATTGCTGAGTCTGTGGTCTACCAGTAGCCCCAGATCTTTCTCCATCCCTGACTTCCTCAGAGAAGCACTTCTAATTAGTATCTTGCATTTATATTTTTGCTTCCAAATGCATGACTTTACATTTTTCAAAGTTGAACCTTATCTGCCATGTATCTGCCCAACCCTCTTCTTGTAGTGCTTACTGTTGTGAAGTTATTGCCTAAATAGCTTGGTATAATCAGCAAACACTGAGATTCAGCTATTTCTTCCGTCTTATATATCATTTATAACAAGATAAACATTGAGGAGTTATTATCAAATGGTCTGTTGTAGATACCTTTTCTTTTGCATAGCAGTAGACAAGGACGTGTTAGAGGCAGAGAGGTCGGTGAGCAGGCTGTCAGTACTGCCACCCAAATCACTTGAAGGGACAAGGCCATGAGTGCTGTCTGTGTCATCTGAAGAACAAAACATGTCGTAAATAAATAAGTGTTTAATGGATCAGTCCATCTAAAAGTAGCATTTTAGTTGTATGTGTATAGCGAATATTTAGAAATATTTACCCAATCCAGCTGGTTATGGTTGGATGAGGGGACATTTGTATTCCTGTAAACCCCTAACATCTCATGACTGAGCCTGCTGAGCAATCATGTACAGGACAAACATCCCTCTGTTCTTTTCCAGGCAGTTGATCGTCCTGGATATGTACACTAAATAATATTTTAAATACTCCTATATCATACTTTATCACAACAAGGAGTGAATCAGCAGCTCAGATAACCATACTCTCCAATCCCAGCATTGACTCAGCTCTTCCTGCTCCCACCTCCCAGCTGTGAATCAGCAACCATCTAATCTCTAATGCAGGCTTTATCACCCCATTTACTCCGGAGGATTTTGAGATTTCTGAGACCCCCTGCAAAAAATTATAATACACTACATTACAGCTCCCTCGTGATACTAATAGGTTAAGTTAATATATACTGTGTGTATATACTGTGTGTATGTATGTATATATATATATATTGGTGTTTAGCTGTGAAATACAATAAAGCAAACACAGAGCTGGAAAATAATTAGGAAACTGGTTAACAGGAAGCTTATCCGCACCACTTAGTGCCAAAAGCAAACAAAATCTTGGGATATATGAAAAGCAAATACAAATACATGTTGCCACTGAATTAATAGCGTAGCAGCTTTTTGGGAGACACATTGTAAAAAAAAATTTGAGACACATTGTAAAAAAAAAAATGTGGACAAAGTTCAAAAGCTGACAACTAAATAAATAAAAAAGTACAACCAGTTGTAGTTACAAGGGGAGATTACAAATCTGGGCATGATTAGTTTGGTAAAAGATGTATTCCCTTATCTTAAAAATGACGACAAAGACACCTTAAGGCCCCATTCACACACGAATCGGCCGGCACCTACAGCTCCTTGCTGCGTGCGGGGCCGTACCAAGCAGCTGCCGGTAAGGACAGGTGCTGCGTGTGATTAGTACGCAGCCCCCGTCCTTCTCTTTGGGGCTACGCGACCGTATGCCCCCCTACGCTCACCTCAATTGCAGGTCCGTAGGGGTGCGGGTGAGCGTATTCATACGCCGCCGGAATGGATCCTGTATGCGTCCCAGCAAGGAAACCCGCACCCCTACGGACCCGCAATTGAGGTGAGCATAGGGGGGCATACGGTCGCGTAGCCCCAAAGAGAAGGACGGGGGCTGCGTACTAATCACACGCAGCACCTGTCCTTCCCGGCAGCTGCTTGGTACGGACCCGCACGCAGCACGGAGCTATACATGCAGGCCGATTTGTGTGTGAATGGGGCCTAAGAATTGTTTAGTAACGGCAATCTACAAACAGATACTTCTAGATAATTGCCGGATTTTTATTCTTTGCATACCTTATTTTTCTTTTTCTCCCGAGATCTTGCGAGAGGTTGCATTTTACAGATGAGATTTCCCAGGAAGGCACTGTTGATGTTCCCAGGATGCATCTGTGAGGCCAGGACTACATCACCAGTGCCTCACTCAACCAGGAAAAGAAAAAAATGTTTGTTTAACTAATGAATGTAAGATGATTTCCTATCAGCATACAGAGCCAGGTGCTGATGTGATTATTAGTGACAGTTGGTAAAAGTCCATTTAACTAACATGTTTTAATGTATGCAAAGCCACTATAAAAGTTAAGCAAATTAACGCCTCCTTCCTAGAGCTCCATATAGGAAAAGGGAAAGTCTGATGTGTAAGAAGAAAAAGGAAGAGTTTATGGAGGCATTTTTTACAGTAAGAGCAGGTACAGGCATAAATGAATACATGAACCCACATTGATAAAAGGAAAAAATTTACATTTATTATTTGTTTGCATTGGATTGCAGAGCATTGCAGCCACAATCAATGGATCATGGGTGCAATGCACAGGCTCCTGCAAACTATTCTTCCCAGCCCCAAGTCCTTAGGGAGGTATGGACGTTCATTTATGAGGATGGAGGAAGCAATCAATGGAATACTAGTGAGGTGACATCACCGCACTTGTATTCCATTGAGATCTACGAGTCCTTCAGTTGCAGTGTGAATACATTTTTGCATACATGTTAAAATGCACATTTTAGTCCTGAAGATGACTTAAAATCCCCCAGAATTCTGTGTTTCCTGAACGCAAAGACCTCGGAGAATAAAATGATGGCAGTTGCAATCTTTAAGAAGACATCAGGGAATATTTACACCTTTCACTCTGATCTCCATCATGACGGTCCCAAGCACCAAGGAGGGACACTTAAGCCCAGGATACATGGCGAAGGGGACTCAGGCAGGGAGCAACATCTTCCGCAGCACGTAGAAGTGATGGGGTGACTGTGAAGTCTACTACAAACCTGACAATCAGGAAAAAAATCCAAACAAACTCCTAATTTCTATACCAGCCGGGAGCTTGTGTGTGTGCTGGTGCTGCCACCGATGTACGACATATATACGACAGCACACGGATTTAGCCATCTTTCTGCATGATGTAGTATCATAAGGCAGAATCAATAATGGAGTATAAAAAAGGAATGGACATTCAATATATAACTAATGAGATATATTTACTAATGCTGATTGTGATCTAGGCCAGGAGTAGGCAAACTACAAATCCCAGGAGGCATTGCAAGACTTTGACAGCCATGGGCATGATGGGATTTGTATTTTCACAATAGCTGGAGGGCCGGGGTTTGCCTTCCCTTGATCTAGGCCATTGATCTGACTACCAAAATTGGCCAAAGCTACCCACAGGGTTTTGTTTTGCCTTCCTCTGAATTAAGTGTTTTGAAAGACTGAGTTTGGTGGATATCACACCACCAGGGAGGCAATGCCAGAACGTAAAATAAAATAACAAAACATTATAACATATTTAAATATATTTATTCGGGACTAACAGAACTGCCCCATACAAATATAAGATATGACATGCAAACCATTTAAAGATATGCAAGATTGCATTAGGAATAGATTAATAAACATTATAGATGAAAAGTGTTGTAAAAGACTGAGTTTGGTGGACATCACAGGACCAGGGAGGCAATACCAGAAAGTAATATTAAAAAATAAATAAATTCTAACAGGCTGTAACTTTTGTATTTAAATGGGGCTAACAATTGCCCCATACAAATATAAAACATGGCATCCAATCCCTTTAAAGGTATGTAAGATTACATTAACAATGTATGATTATTATGGATGAAAAGTGTAGTAAAAGTTTGAGTTTGGTGGACATCAGACCACCAGGGAAGGAGTACCAGAAGGTAAAAAAAAAAAATTGTAACAGGTCATAACTTTTTTATTTAAATGGGACTAACAACTGCCTCATACAAATATGATATGTAGGATGGCATTAGCAATAGATTAATAGGTATTGTGGATGAAAACTGTTGTGAAAAATTGAGTTTGGTTGACATTACACAACCAGGGAGAGCATACCAGAAAGTAAAATAAAAAATAAATAAATGGTAACAGACCATAACTTTTATATTTAATGAGGCTACCAGACCTGTCCTATACAAATATAAAATATTAGACATGTGCGTTCGGATGCGGACAAACCTGCAAATGAACGAAAATCAGTTGATTCGGCGTTTCATCCGAATCTGAAATAACAAATGTATTATATGCCCGAATATACGAAAACTATATTCGGGCATACATACATTTGTTTTCAGAATGCGCGGCGGCCATATTAGCCTTCATCTTGGAGGCAGAGCGGTGACGTCACATATTGGCCGGCGGCGCGTTGTGCGTGCCGCCCCATTGGAATATATCTTGGTATACACCAAGATGGCGGCACTCGAACAAGCAGGCCCAGCCATCTAGACGTATACCAAGATACGCTCCAAGATGGTGGAGCACATTAGCAGAACGTGCTGGTGGCTGATATGGCTGCTGCTTGATTTGCAGTTTCAGTGTACGAGCCTCCGAATCAGAAACAACATAAAAATGTATTTCCTTTGACGAAACGAATGAAAATGTTTTTCGTTTTGATTTGTTTTGTCCGAAAACCAAATTTTTTGCCGTGCACATGTCTATAAAATATGACACGCAAACCCTTTAAAGGTATGCAGGATTGCATTTGTAGTAGATTAATAGGTGTTATGAATTAAAAGAAAACTATGGGGTAAGTGTTTTTCCTCATAGTTCTCCTAAGGGTCACAGGAGGATATATACTAACCTCCTCCCATGACCCAAAGCTCAGTATATCGCGAGCTACAGCTCACTGTATACTGAGACCGCCGCAGCTGGGACGGATCCCGACATTACTGTCGAGATCTACCCAGGTGTGTGAATGACAGTGGGCTCTGCCTATCTAGAGGCAGAGCCAGCTGTACCCGCCCCTCCCTCGTCCATTCCTCCAGTCGGCGCTGGAGAATCGGAGCGGGGAGGGGGGAATCCCTGCAGGAAACCGTAAGTGACAGTCACTGCTCTCTGCAGGGAGATGATCGAGAAGTGAGCGAGCGACGGTATGTGTTCACGCACTTCCCGATCTGTTGAGCCGACCTGTGACAGTTTAATTGTCACACATGGGCTCGAACTATGAGGATGAGTGAAAATCACTAACCTCATAGTTCTCCTTTAAATTACAATTCCTTTATTTTTCTATCTCTGTATACTCCGTTGACTTAGGATATATTACAGTATGGAAGTGTTTGCACTCTGTGTTGTTTGCTAACAAATAAAGTCCAAGGTGGACGATACACAAGTCGAGCTTAAGCTTACTTGCTTTGCTTTGTGCGAGAGTTTAATTCCATGCTTTGATGGAGAGATTTCTTTGATTAGCAGAGAAGGAAATACAACATTCCCATAATCTCGATCCAGCTCTATTTTGAGTTGTTCTTTGTTGATTTAATAGGCCTTACCTAGTGCACCCTTGTTTGCAAATGTCAATCCCTTGTCAGCTTTCTTCTTTTTCTTCAGGTGCAGACCAGAGAACAGACCCTTTCTGGAGAAGAAGCGGAAACATGAGGTCATTGTAGATATTTTGAGGGAAAAGACCTTTGTTTACAATCAATACAAATATAGAAATTATTTATAAGAGCCAATAAATTAACCACCTCAGGACCAGAGCAATTTTTTTCATTTTTCACACTCATATTAAAATCAGAATGTTTGGATAGAAAATTAATTTAAAACCCCCAAACAATTACATATTTTCTGAAAGCATAGGCCCGGTAGAATAAAAACATGATAGCTAAATTTTTTATGTCACATGATATTCACGGAAATGTTTATCAAACTGATATTTTTAGAAATAAATACACTAAGATGAATGTTAGTGCACACAAACACAATATAATACCAATTTTTTTCCAAGAATATAAAAGATGGGGTCACATCAAATAAATAGATACCAAACATGTCAAGCGCTAAAATTGCGTGCGCCCATGTGATGGTTTAAACACTACTTCTACTCAAAATTGTCCATAAGCAATTAAAAGACTTTACTGCTCATATGTGTCAGAATGTTTACTGTGATAAAATAAACAGTTCTCTATTTATGAAAATAGGCCGGGATCTGGAATTAAGGAGATTCCCAACTTAATTTCACAAATCAACAAAAATAACTCGAGTTCATTTATTTGCGCTAACCTGAAGACAAAACACAATAGCGTGCAAAAATATATATATTTATTAACTAGAAATCAGTGCAAAATAATCAAAATATAATTGGTGATACACAAGAAATCAATTGGATCAAAGTTTCAATAATATTGATACAACACAGATAATGAGAAAAATAAAACCACTGGATATTATTTCAAATATAAATGAGTCCAACTTGGATACAGGGTGCCCTCCAGGTTTTTACACATTTGCCTTCCCACCCCCTTCAATATCTATCTGCCATCCATCCAGGACTTCTCTTGTGCTGTAACTTGACTCTAGAAGAGGGGTGTCAAACTCGGTTTCATCACGGACCACATCAGTATTATGGTTGCCCTCAAAGGGCCGGTTGGATTTGTATGACTTGTATGACTATATAAATGTATCTACTCTTCATCATGTTAAATAATTGCCTCTGCATTCGATTATTACCGGTTTTAGTAATAACTTAATAACTATCTCTAAGAGTAGAAGTATAAGAAAAATAATAGCAATTAGTGTGATAGTGCGGACTCTCAGGTGGCTGTGCAGGTTTAATGGTGGGCTAAGCAGGATCTATAGTTGCCTGTGCGGACTCTAAGGTGGGCTATTTGGGGTCTATGGTGGGCTGTGCAGGTTCTATGGTGGGCTGTTTGGACTCTCAGGAGGGCTATGCAAGGTCTATGGTGGGCTGTGCAGACTCTCAGGTCGCTGTGTGGGGTCTATGCTGGGTTGTGCGTACTCTCAGGCGGCTATGGATGTTCTATGGGGGGCTGTGCAGAATCTCAGGTTGCTTTGTAGGTTCTGTGGTGGTCTGGTGGACTTTCAGGTAGCTGTGTGGGGTCTTAGGAGGGCTGGGCAGTCTCACCAGTGGTCCCAGTTGGTCTCGGAGGGTGCAGGCAGCATGGTTCCACAAGAAGGAGGAGGAGATTTTCATCCAACGCTGTGAGCAGGCACCGCAACTCACAGAAAGGCTGCTGGGACTTTGCTGGGGACCTCGGCAGCCCTCCTGTGAATGGCGGTGCCTTGGGTTTGACATACATGCTCTAGAATGTTCTCCCTCACTCAGACCATCCGCCATACCTCATAACTGTCCCTCATTTGGAACCAAACCCCTCTGTCCCTCTTTCCTCCTCAGTTGTCCCTCTTTTTGGTCTGATGTACAGACAACTATGACAATTTTCTATTGACCACCAAAAGTATTATCCTGAATTAAAACCTTTATCTTATCTCTTAATTATCTTGTTTGCTTTTTAAAAAAAACAGAAAAAAGGAATAATAATGGCGGGAAATAAAATCAGTTCTGGGTTTAGCCAATCATTTTTGACATATGCTTAATGGGCCACATAACTGGGGCATAGCAATGGGGTATCCATTGCCTAAATACATTGTGCTGGAAGGTTTGCTCTTTCACATCTCAGAAAGTTGGAAGGTATGCACCCACTACTTTTCCCCAGGTGCACCCAAACAGATGTGGGTGTTACTTCTTCTGTACAAATTACAAAGTGCTTAGATCTTGCCCAACTGTCAGACAAGCTAAGTAGACTTGAACATACGTCCATGATAACTGACCTGTATATTGGATACACAAGACTTCTCCATCTGATCCATTTGGATAGCATTTAGGGCTTGTTCACACCATGTCAAACAAGCTGGATTTTTCTGTAGGCGTATGTATGAATGTATGATGGGATAGTTTAGTTGAGAAGAATGTCACTAGCAGAGCCGGATTTACTCTCCCTGCCGCCCCAAGGCCAGGTTCCACAGTACGCCCCCCCCCCTCAATTGAGAATGGCAACCAGATGGAAGGTTAGCGGGGTTAGTTTCAATTTTTTTTTTTTAAACTTTATCACTTTTTATTTTTTTATTAATTTTTTTCTTATTTTTTTAATTTTTATTTATTTCATTATTTTGTATCAATTTAATTTTTTAGATTTAAATTTTTCTTATTTACTTTTTTAAAAATTTTTAATTCTGTTATTGTTTATTTTTATAACTATTTTCTTATTTTTTAAAATTTGTTTCTAATTTTTCTTATTTACTTTTTTAAAAATTTTTAATTCTGTTATTGTTTATTTTTATAACTATTTTCTTATTTTTTAATAATTTGTTTCTTATTATTTTTTACTTTTTAATCACCTTTTTATTTTTTTATTTAATTATTTCATTTTTTACTTTTTAATTTATTTCATTTTTTTTAAATCAATTTCATTTTTTCCCCCCACCTAACTTTATTGCTATCACGCAGGAGATAACAATCCCCTGTGTGATAGCAATTGGAGATGACAGGTTCTCTTTATTGACCCTGTCACCTCCAATACAGGAGTTCTAGCACAGCGCTGTGCTGGAACTCCTGTGACAGGTGAGAGAGGAAGAGCACAGCTCTCCCCTCTCACTGTGTACACGGAGCGGCAGGGGTAGTTTAACCCTGCCGCTCTGCTCCCTGCAGTGAGGAGAGACTCGGTGGCGGAGCCCGGAGGACGGAACCAGCGAGGAGAAAGGTAAGTGCAGGGGGGAGGGGAGGACGGACCTGTCGGCGGCAGACTTTTTACATGTCATCTCGGCGACATCGCCGAGATGACATGTAAACGAACAATCGGCTACCTCACTCTACATTTAGTCCTGCTTGTGCAAAGAAGGACTAAATGTAGAGAGGGCAACTTACCGCCCGGCGCCCGTAACTTCCCCACAAGAACACTGCTGCCGCCCCTCTGCGCCCTGCCGCCCCGAGGACGAGCCTCTGTGGCCTTGTGGGAAATACGGGCCTGATCACTAGCACACCGAAAAGGATCACCAAAAGTTCATTTTGTTGAACAATTGTCAAATGGACACTATGTATGCATGATCAGGACTCATAGAAGACAATTGTTTTCTATTCACACCATATATACGCTTACAGGTAAATGCAGTTTAATGGACATGGTGTGAACAAGCTGGAAGTTCCAGTTGTACAATGTATTACATTGCCTTTGTTCAAAATATAATCATAATACAATAATAATAAGTTGTAGACACATATGATTATCAAGTAACTGATACAAATCTAATTAAAAAAATTAAAAAATCTAAAACAATTGGTCATAACTAGGTCTCTGCAAGACTTTACCCTGTATAAAGCTGCCCTCCTAAAATATAACTCCTCCCTCCGTGCTGCCAAACAAACTTATTTTGTCACTCTCATTAACACACTCTCATCCCGACCTCGTCAACTCTTTTCTAACTTTAACTCTCTACTATGTCCCCCTCCACCAATGCCCACTAACTAACTCACTCACTGCCCAGGACATTGCCATTCATTTAAAAAACAAAATAGATACAATTCGGGATCAGATCGCCACTGTGCAATCAACCTTCCCTATTCATGTACCAGACCCACCATCACACTTGTTACTTTCCTCTTTTGTCCCTGTCACCACAGAGGAGGTTACAAAGCTTCTCTCTGACACCCACCACACCACTTGCCCCCTAGGCCCTGTTGCCTCACCACTACTCCGGTTACCCTCTTGCTCTATCCTACACGCTCTTACTCACATTTTCAGTCTTTCACTCTCTACAGGCATCTTTCCTTCCCCTCTAAAACATGCGCTGGTCACCCCAATACCCAAAAAACCCTCACTGGACCCTACCAACCTCAACAATCTCAGACCAATCTCCTTACTCCCATTCACCTCCAAACTACTAGAACGCCTTATCTACGGCCGTCTGAATCGCCACCTCGCTAATAACAACCTTTTGGACATCTTACAGTCCGGCTTTCGCCCCCTACAATCCACTGAAGCCGCCCTCCTAAAACTCGCTAATGATTTACTGTGATTGTAATGCCTTCCTTATATTGTAAAGCTCTCCGCAAACTGTTGGCGCTATATAAATCCTGTATAATAATAATAGTGATTATGTCTAGCCAAATAAAATATGTCTGTAGAATTCCCGGGCTCTAATTTTTGGAGTGCTGCCTGTAGCGAAGACTTTTTTTTTTTTTAATACCATCATTCAAAGTTACTGTATACTCATGGAAGTTCACCGCTTTAAATATTGATGACCGAAATGAAGCACAAATAATTATTTCGGTTGACAATATGGCTGAATTACTCCCCCTGCACACAAGGGATGCTGGGAAATGTTCCGATCTATTACATTACGCCTGCTCCACAGAGAATACAGTGAATACATTTGGATGCATCCATCAAAAACATTTGGCACTTTATTAGAAAGAAAACATGCTTAATTGATCCTCATCTGCATCAATTAAGATAATGTAAAGTTCCTGGAAGTCAATAAATGTATGTTTCCATCTGCCTTTATATTGCTGTAATAATCAGGATTAAGTATTGCAAATTTTAATCAATTATATCCATATAT